TGTCTCGAATATCGGAAGGATGACACAGCGCGAGATACAATTTGATACTGTGCGATTCACGGGTTCGCGCGCCTTTAAGTCGTTTGAGGGCGCGTAGCCTTTAGTGCGAGCATGAAATTCGTGCGGCAACTGCTGACGATACGCGTCACAAACTGTGACACGAAATCGCGAATGATGGGAGGCGGCGCGGAGAGGCGCAAGTACGGCGAAATGCTGCCGAGCACTATACACGCGATCATTTGCGGCCCGTCGAATTGCGGTAAAACCAACGTTCTCGAGAGCCCGAACGGCGTACCTTTCGAGAACGTGTATGTCTACTCGAAATCGCTGCAGCAGCCAAAGTATCGATATCTCGAAAATTTATTTACGTTTATCGATGAAATCGGCTACTTTACGTTCTCCAACAACAGCGACGTCATTCCGCCGAGCGAGGCGCGTCCAAATTCTATTTTTATCTTTGATGACGTGGCATGCGACAAGCAGGATGCTGTGAGAGAATACTTCTCCATGGTCCGCCACGCCAACGTCGACTGCTTCTATCTCTGTCAAACGTACGCGAGGATACCTAAACATCTGACACGCGACAACGCAAACCTGCTGATCCTGTTCAAATAGGATGGCACCAACTTGAAACATGTTTACAATGATCACGTGAATACCGACATGTCGTACGACGAATTTTGTGCGTTGTGTCGTGACTGTTGGCAAAAAAAATACGGATTTCTAGTGATAGATAAGGACAGTGCACTTAAAGTCGGGAGATACAGTAAAGGATTTAACGAGTTCGCGATACCGTAACGTGATCAGTCGTTGTCGATACTTCATCAGAGACAAACATGACAGACGTGCGCGAGCGTGAAAAAATCGCGAGGGAGATCGAGAAGACGAATGAATCGATCCGCAAGAAATATCACGCTCTGAAAACAGGTAGAATCGAGGACGACATGGCATTGAACAGGCATTTTAAGCCTCCGTCCGTGGGGCCCCCATGGGTGGCGCCACCCGCAGCGGTGCTCCCGTAGTCGGAGGCGGGAGACCCCCGAAACCCACGGTTGGAATTGCACCACATCCTTCCGTGGGGAGTAAGGGGCTGGAGGCCAGCGTCCCCGATGATACATACCGGGGACCCGTGCCATATGCCGGCCCCCCGGGGGAACTCGGGGCCCCCTCCCTGGGATTTTCCTGGGGAGGTGTGAGGGTACACCCTGGCTGGCGGAGCCGCTGCGGGGTTGGGGGGAAAACGAAATGAGCGAATTGAACCAGAAAAAACAGAAGGCGCCTGCAAAAGCGAAGAAGGAGGAGCCTGCAAAGGCGAAATGGAAGCATTTACGTCGTGATAGCGACATCACGGCGACCAGCTCGGAGAAGGATCTGGAGGAGTTTTCTCCAGAATTCGTATCGGACGACGAGGGGGATGAGTACTACGAATCATCCCTCACATTGGTGGGCGAGGACCACCTCTTTGGGCTGTACCTCGGTGCACGGCCTAGCGTAGATGGTGGGTCCACTGGGGACTCGCTCACTGGAGAGGTGTCGACGGGGGAGGGGACCGGGGAGAGGTCCACCTCTGGTCTCGACACGGAAACGATCAGGCGTTTCTTTAGTGAAGAGATCATGACTGCCATCGAAGGACAGATAAACCCATGGTTACGAGGGGGGGCTTCAGATGGCGACATTGATGACGAGGCTCCGCGCACGGAGGCGGAAGCCCGCTCGACTGACTCCGCGGAGGGCGATGCGCAGGCGGTCGTGGGCCCGACTTCGGCGGTGGCCGAGAAGGGCGGCCTGTGGAGAACTCGCCGGAAGGCCAGGATCCCGTCGAGCTCCACGGGAACCGAGGAGGATTCGGTTGCGGTGGAAATGTCACGCACCGACGACTCCCCTCCCGAGAAGGTGAACGTGGTGGAGCCGTCCACGTCGGGCACCACAACGCAGAAGAAGCGCTCATACCAAACGACGGGTATGTACGCCGGCAGACGCGAGGCCATTAGAGCGGCAAACGAAGAGAAGGATCGCTCCCTGCAGTTAGCCAGAGAGGAACTTATCAGGAAACTGGGGAATTGCGATCTGCTGAAGAGATCGAAAATCGACTTCGATAAGTCGAGGGAACTTGCTGAGGTTAAGCCCACGGAGACTCTGGCGAAAGAGATCCAGGAGGGAATGATGGAGGTCATTAGGATCGCTAAGGTCTCCTCGAATCTTAAGGGCACCTTTCAGAAGTCGCTGAAGTTGGTGGCAGCCTCGACGTTCGGAGGCGCCGAAATACTCCGCGAAAGGATTGAAGTTGGTGGCAGCCTCGACGTTCGGAGGCGCCGAAATACTCCGCGAAAGGGCGGAGATGAGTAAATTCGCCTCCCAGTCGGACGAAGTGGCAGCCCTACGTAGGGAGATAAATAACCTGCGCTGGTCTCACACACTAGAGATCGAGAGCGAGAGGAGGAAAGCCCTGGAACTTTCCGGGGAATCGGCCAGGTATCAGCTGGAGCTGAAGGCGCTCCAGAAGGAGAAAGATACCTGGTCACGGAAAGGAAACCGGACATCTCCAGGTTCCGAAAAACCAGTCACCCGAGCGGACCTAAAGAGGGACGCGGCTCGGTCCATGG